GATGCAGCCATCAGTGAACTCCACCCATCCTGACGTGACAAACAGAGTATGTGATTATCAAGAGTGTCAGTAGACGCTCTATGTAGGAATGCCCACGTAACCTGCCTATAAAACACAGGCTCACTCCAATATCAAAGTGAAAGGGACATTCTATATTTCTTTGCAGGTCCTTCTCTATAATGTGCCTTAGAATCGTTCCATGAGAAGTTCTACATCCACGATCTTACAGTATGTGCCTTTTTCATCAAACTTACCTACAGTTATGCTGGCAAGGGTAGAGAGAATAAAATCTAGACTACAATCTTATTTGGCAAGCGATAGTTTTTTTCCTGCAAAACATGTACCAGAATTGTTGAGAACCTGGACGGTACACAGCTAATGATGTCATCTACTGCTAAGGCTAGATTTACAATGTCGCATTGCCTCGTCGTGCCGTGGCGCTTTGCAGCATCACGAGGATAGTTATATCCTCGCAGCAGGACGCGATGAGGAAATGCAACATATTGCCTGCTGGAAGAGTGAATGCAGAGCTGCCAGGTGCATATATAGTGTAATGTTACATAGACAGTGGTTAGCTCAACTCCTCTATACAAGCTACAGCAAGTGACCGCCAACCAAGTTGAACTTATCAAGGGACTTCCATCTTTTAGAATGACTCACATTTACACACCAGACTTACAATAATCTGACAATCAACTGGCACTCCAGCTCCCAGAGCACAATCCAATGACTCTTTATCCCCATCCCAAGCAGCATTGAGAAGACCGATCTCCTGTGTATACATGAGGGCAGTGATGGCACAGAGTGTATACAAATGTTTCACTTACATTTAAATGAAGAATGATAATCTCCTCTCCATTCACAAGAATTTTTCTAATACCCTCCTGTGCCATTGCAGTGTAATGAGAGAGAAAAATGAACCACCGACGTCAACAAAAGCATAGTAGTGCCAGTGAAGAGTGAGTGGATTGAGGGTGTGGCCATCATACACCAGATCACCAGTGGGGATACGGAGTAGGGAGCTGGTGAGGCTGTGTATGGTGTTGTACTGTGCTCTTGTGAGGGTAGAACCCTCCAATTGAGCAGTGAAGAGGCGGCTATCTGGAGGAGGAGGAGAGGGCTGGGTACTTGACTCTCCAGAGATCATGACTTCATCTTCCTCTTGTTGGTGGGAGACTGCCTCACCCTTCAGGAGACTCTGGAACTCTGAGAATGAAGGACCTTGACTGATGTATGTATAGTGTTTTAGGAACTCACTGTTACGGAGTCTCTCTGAAACATGTAACTGTCCTGCATTAGCCAAAGCCATACAGAATGTTGGGAACATCCCCACAACTATATTATCAGCATCTCGGAGTGCCTCTACTATTATATGTACTTTCTCTAGTTGACTGCTCTTTGCCCAAACTTCTTCTCCTTGTGGCTGTGTCAGCAGCCTTCGTTGTACCAGGTGTGGAACTACTTCATCTGGTGACATCTCCTCCAACAGGTAGCTATAATTGGTATCAATAGCCTGAAGCCCTAGTCGAATCACCTTCCACTCCAACTGCATGGCTGTAAATGAGTAAAGTAAAGCACAGCTCACTATAAAACAAAAACAGACTACCGAAAGAGGAGTCGTAGACGATGAATCCGTCAATGGTGAGAGTGGTGACGTGATGCTCCATCATGCTCTGACTGCTGGGCTTGACAGAGTTCTGGATGTAGGTCACCAGAGAACGAGGAACCCGCCATGTCACCTCCACACACCCTCGAGCCACTTTCACGAGGTTGAGGGAGAAGTCATACAAGGACAGCTCCCGGCAGACTTGAATGCGAAACTTCTCAACATCTTCCAGTGTAGCGGTTCTCCAGTCCATTTGGTGCTTACTAACCATCGTGGTAAACTTACTGTTGATATTTTCAGGCTCAGTGGCACAAAACTCTGAAAAATTATACTTCTAGTCTGGTTTCTTCTCTGAATTTTCTCATTTGATTCACGTAATCTGTCATTTTTTTCTTCAGATCATCATTACCATAGAGATCAATGACATACTTTAGCAGTGAGAAGTGCAAATAGTTGAAGTGTTCCGCAATAAGCTCAATTATATCTTCAGCTAACTCAGCCTTTTTCATTTGGGCTTTCGCTTCTGTGATGAACTTTTCATGCACTTTCTTTAGGTTGGGTGGAAGAGAGAGAAGTGAGTAGCGCAACTTCTTAACTGCAACATTCTTATTCAACACTTCGCCAGCACAAACCAAGATTCAATGTACTCTTTCTGCAACTGATCAATCTTCACACTTGCAATTTCTTTTTCTTTGTCAAACACTGCAGAACAAAAGTGCCATGTAACAGTTAACTCTGTTTCCCAGGTTTGCATGGCGTGGTCCCAGTCCGTCAATTATTTATGCACATGGGAATCAAACAACACACGTGAGCACGTTCCTTGTGCCGAGGGTTTGCAGTCTCGTCCCCTGAAAAGGTCACTCATCACTGAAAGTACTAGGGAAGTATCGTTTTTTTTAACTGCTCCACCACGCATGTGACAACACGAAGGTGAGGCAAAGGCAAAGGCAAAGCAAACAAGTCAACTACACCCAGGACAACTCTTTTTTCCAAGGAAAAAGAAAAAGCTGCCCTTCAACCCACGACACTCTGCACTCTAGGCGAGCACTCTACAACTGAGCTACCATGGGCAACTCAGCTGGTAGTGGTTCGAATCTACAACACAACACAACACAAAGGCAAGCCTCAAACCACTGTGCTGTGGCACAGTAAACTCTCACTCAGTATGGCTACTACTGTGCCCTCTCCCTCAACGCTGATCTCAGAGACTGAGAGGTCAGGAGCCGCTATCGCGGAAGTCCAGCTCCTTTCAGGGACTCCGCCCTGTTATACGCGCATGCACGACACACATAAGGAAAGGAGAAAACGGTTGTAGGTAGACAGGCTTTTGTGTTTGGGATTCCAAAACCTAAAAATTTATCACAGGTGTTCATGATGCATGCGCCACTGAAAACAAGGTCGTTCTCTAATCTTCTTTGATATCAGCCTTTGCTTCCCCGAGGAACCTTTTGTGCTCTTTTTTGAGATTAGACGGAAGACAGAGGAGGGAGTAACGCAAATTCTCAACGGCGACGCTCTTAACCATTTCTTTAGCAGCACAAATGGATTAAGCCAATGTATTCTTTCTGCAACTAATCAATCTTTCCTTTGTCATTTTTACTTCTTGGTCTAATGATAACAATGGTAAAATGAAAATACTAAATACCCTTGTTACAAAGGGAATGTGTGCACGTAAAATGGCAGCATGAACTTAGCACCTGCAATAAGGTAAAATATGCATAGCACAGATGAGCCACACTACATGGTCTAGCTAAAGCCAGTTTCTTGCTTAGGTTGGCAGCGATAAAGCGAGTACCATCTGGTGGCAATGCTGGCCTGAGTACTCCCTCCCCGTCCTCTGAGATACCACTCACATAGTGTGACGGCAAACACTGGCCATCATTATTTTCAGTCCAAACCTTTAATACAAGCCAGCATAGAGCTGTGATTACTACTGGTTTGGCGGTGACCTGCCAGATGAAGTCAGAAGGCGAGGGAAAAGGGGACAGACATAATTCCTTGGATTCAGACCCTACTTTTTAGTAAGCCCACTGGTGTTAGAGACAAACGTGGTGGTTACTAGCCTAGTTACTAGGCTGCCCCCTCTACACACACACATTCTATATGTATAACCTTTGGCATAAAAAATGTGCTCTTTTCTCTCGTCTCGGTGACATTTTCTTTATCTAGTAGTACGCAAGATTGATTCTTAGGCTAGAACGCAAAAATGTAAACTTGGCCCGTACAAGAAGAACCTTCCGTTTATCCATCTATCACTTACGGAATGTCAAAATTATGGGGTAAACCTATACACAGCCATGCTGTATCCATGTAGGTATAATATTATACACTCAACCATAATAATTATTACACTGGCTAATGGATCACTCATTCATAAGGAGCCACAAGTCCCAATACTTTGATCCTGGCTACAAGGGGAAAATACCAAATTCTTGTGTTTAGATTCACCCACGACACTGTCATCAACTGCGATTACAATCTTCGATAATTAATGGATGGCCACATCACGGCGTTCATTCGCAGTTACTCAGCTACTGTGTACTATGTGTAGTCGAGGTAGTCATAGTGTTCGCTAATAACACGAACCGACCACGTACATTATTTCATTTGTTGATACTGCTTTTTAATATCAGCCTTTGCTTCCCTGAGGAACCTTTTGTGTTCTTTTTTGAGATTAGATGGAAGACAGAGGAGGGAGTAACGCAAATTCCTCACACGGGCACATTCTTAACCATTTCTTTAGCAGCACAAACGGATAAGTCAATGTATTCCTTCTGCAACTTATCAATCTATCCTTTTGTCATTTTTACTTCTTGGTCTAATGATAACAATGGTAAAACGGAAAGCACTAAATACCCTTGTTACAAATGGATGTGTGCATGTATAACGGCAGCATGAACTTAGCCCCTGCAATAAGGTAAAATATGCATAGCACAGATGATCTTGTGGGCCAAACTACATGGTCTAGCTAAAGCCAGTTTCTTGCTTAGGCTAGCAACGATAAAGCGAGTAATGTCTGGGGCAATGCTGGACTGAGTACTCGTCCTCTGAGATACCTACTCATCCCCCCACAGTGTGAATGGACAAACACTGGCCATAATCATTTTCAGTCCAAAACTTTAATACAAGCCAGTGATTACTAATACTGGCTTGCAGGGAGAAGGGAGAGACATAAAAATCCTTGGATTCCAACCCCTACTTTTTGCTCAATAGTAAACCCACTGGTGTTAGAGACATTGCTGGCCTCGTTCCTAGGTTCTCCCTCAATTTATTTTGCTCCCCCTCTCCACGCACATAATTTATTCGCATGACCTTTGCCCTACCCCCCAGCCCCTTCGCCTGCACAAACTTTATCCCCCCTCTCTGTGCACACATTAACCTGTGGCATAAAATATGTGCACTTGGAGAGAGAACGAGGCTAGCGGCTGCCTCAGTCAAAAAACACTTGACTGCGAGAACAATGGATAGTAAAATTGCTGACTGCCTCAGTGAAAATAATCCTGTCTACGCTTGTGTAACCTTTGGTGTCTCCACTTGCAAATGAGGTATTGGCCACAGTCTGCACTGATGTACTGCTCATGGATAATGCTGCATCTCCAGCCATTGTATTTGGTACTTCAGCTGTTGAGAATAACTATTGCATCAGGATACTGACATTAGGTATATACTCAACCTACCAGTTGTTAGCTTTGCTGAAAGCTTATTTGCCACATCAGACATGGCAACAGTAGGGTGATTTAATGCATTGTAGAGAATTCTCCAGGTGCATGGCTCAATCTTCTTAAACCTGGTCTTGATCATGAGGTTGAACTTCTTGTCAAGACTCAGCGCGCGCACGCGCATAATTTGCTGCTGACAGTGCACAGTCGCACCCATCCGTACACACGGAGGAAGCTTCTACCCCGCTGGGATCACGAAGACTGCCAGTAGCATCGACGTCGTGATCGCTTATCTTGACCATGTCTGATCAGGTAGGCGGGTGTTGGTCATGACGGCTTTTATATGCTTTTTACAAGAGCAACATTTTGAGGGCGGGGCATGTTCTATACCTAGCTAGCTATACAATCCAATATTCTTCCAGTTGGGCATTGAAGACTTTTCCGAAGTCCAAGAGGCTCTGTGGGCCGCCAGATCAAAATGGGATAACATTGGAACCCGACTCAAGCTGGATGCCCATGAGCTGGAGAGCATTGATGCTGAGCCTGGGATGAATGCACTCTATATATTGGGTGGGGTTGGACTCGGACTTTGCGCACAGCTCTAGCTTTGTATATAGTTGTATATAGGTTCTACTTACAGCGCAGGATGTTGGAAGAAGCCATTGCATAAGGTGTTGAAATGTAAGATAAATTCAGCAGGTGCCATTCATTCGAAGAGGATATGGATCAATGCACAGTATGCAGTGCCGGAGAAATAAATTTTTGAGTGCTCAGGCCAACTGGAGCGTGATGAAGCGCGCGAAGCGCGGCGTGAGCACTAGGGGGGTCTGGGGGCATGTTCCCCAGGAAAAGTTTGAAATTTAGGATATTCTGATCGTGTTTCTGGTGCGATAATGTGGCCTCTTTCCGGGCCTAGATAGTCAAATTTAACCATGGTCATTGTCGGAACCAGGTCTGCTGAAACGACATCAAAACAACACTAAAAGAGTGCTTGGGAAAAATGAACGATGGGGACGGCTGGTGAAGAGCTGGCAGAAGATCAACAACTTGTAAAGGCTGCGAGGTGGCACCGCTGGCCATTATCTTTAACGCTGTCCCCGCCGCGCCGATCCGACGAGAGATCGTTGCAGCGGCCGGGCGCCACACATCCTCTTCATCATCACGAGCGCATGCGCATGCGCAACCAACATAAAAGTGGCATCTGGCGGTTGTTGGATGTCATGGCGGGATGGGTAGCCCCTTTGGTTTGCGCCGCCGACAGATCTGTGACTGTTTCTCACCTATACCTCTACAAACCTGACCACGGATCCTTTAGTTTCTCCATGTATCAATTTGTGGTTTGTGTATTCCACTTCCTGTAACCCATTTTTTGTACTTGTTCTCCCCGAAGGGCTATCTCATGAACTTTTGACTTTTGAAAAGTGGTCCGGCCAAAACCGGACCGGCCGTGCCGGCGACGCCGGCCCTGGATGTATGATGATGTTTAAAACCTGCTGTAGGGACTTTGACCACATCTTTGTCGCTGTCATACAGTGATAACAATGGGTCATGATCCATCTGAGCATGGAACCTTTTGACAGTCTGTAAAACGGGCTTTTCTGCGCATGCACTCGACAATGATGAATCAGCACAACGAAGAAATCGGTCAGTAGTCACCAGACCCTTTTCCTCTCTTGAGGGCGGGGTCTGGGCACGCGGCCGGCCGGGGGGAGGTGCATGCGCATGCGATCACGTGTGAGCAATTTCTGAATCAGCACTCCCGAATATATCGTTCAACCAATTTTCAAGGAATATTCAGCAATCTAGGCTGTGCCTTTTTTTCTCTTGACAGAGTGAAGGAGGCACCTTAGAAGATCAAAAATCTTGGTGGAACCACAACTCGTTTTTTGCTAGCAGCTTATGAATGGGAGTGCCTAAGCTTGCGACTTTTTTCTTCCAGTGAAGCGTTTAGCATCTGGCCTTGACTTTCCACTCCAGTCTACGAGACCATTTGTCTCAAGTCAGGCTATTTAAATGTTCCAATTGCTGCACAAATACAGCAAGCTATGAGCAGTAGACAGTGGATAGCATTAGGCCAAGCCACGCACCAAATTGTTGTAGCCTAGCTACTCCACAGATACCTTTGTACAATTCCGTGAAGAAAATCCGCTAATAACTTGTGCTTTGTGTCGATCATACAGTTTCTACAACGGTTTCTGGCATAGGAGAGGGAAGAAGGAAAGAGAGAGGCACTTTTCAATAGCCTGTTTGTCTTGAGACTTGGTAACGGTGTTTTGCAGGGACGTGGGCACGAGGGCGAGTACCAGCCCATGTCCTCAGACTTCCCTCCCTCTTTTGTAAACCATATCGCTTACTATGCATACTTCCAATACAACGCTTATGAGCATTGGCATGTATGGAACACGCGTTTTTGTCATGTGGTTCTTACGTAACTACCCAAGCTTGTCCTACCCCCCCTGATCGCGCACAGCTCCAGCCTTGTAGTTGTAGGTTCAACATACTGCACCTTATGTAATGGAGGAAGCCATTGCACAAGGCATTAAAATGTAGGATAAGAGTGAAGGATTCAGCAGGTGCCATGCATTGGAAGAGGATATGGATCAATGCACAGTACACACAAATCATGTGTGATGATGTTTAAAATATGCTGTTGGGGCTTTGAGGGCCACATCTTTGTCACTGTCATACAGGGATAACGACGGGACATGATCCATCTGAGCATGGAACCTTTTGACCACTTCATCCACTGTTTCTTTCATCAGAGAGGTGTCAGGGTGCTGTATGAAACGAGAATAATGTTTTTGAACATAATTATCTAACATCTTCACTACCATAAACCTAATACAGAGACACATGAACATTTTGCTGATCAAACTTACCTGTTGTCACAATTTTAGCATTGCACGTAAACTAACCTCTATGATATCAGCTGTAGCTTGTGGCTCCATTAGTTCAATTACGGCACACAAATCCCAAAATTCATTGGCTGATGCCACATCAGATGCTGTGATGCCCTCCTCCTACATTTATGAAAATCTTTAAATTAAATATAGAAGGCTGTGTGACATACCACATTCCTAATCTTTGCATCGGCTCCGTGTTCCATGAGAACCATTACTGTGTCTAGATGACCACACTTGCAGGCAAACATCAGAGCTGTGTATCCAGTTTCCTGAATTACACAATAGGCTTGTCATAATATTGTCAATCAATCTCAACAATAATATTAGGAACTTTACTGATTGCTGGAGGTCAGGATTAGCCTGATAACCAAGTAGCAGTTTTGCCATCTTTGAATTTCCATCATCACAACACATCATCAAAGCAGAAAGTCCTTCCTATGAAGGAAAAAGGCAATGTGCCATTGAAGTCGTATGTAGAAAATGGTGGCATAAAACATGGTAAATGACAGACCAAACAACTATACAGTGGAACCTCTGATAAGGGACCCTCCAAGATAGGGATGACCTCTCTAATATACCTACTCTACAAAGGACACTTGTTTCAACCCCATTAATTGACCTCTGGGACGACCTCTCTAAAAAGTTATTTTCCTTTGTTCAGAGGTTCCTTCAGAGGTAAGGTAAGTTTAGAGGAAACCTTATGTGGAGGTGAGGGTTAATCCTACAACTCAACCAACATAAAATTAATACCTGCTCCAATTTGTTAACATCAACTCCTGCCCATATCAATTCCTTGACCATTGCCACATTGTTCTTTCTTACAGCCAACAGCAGTGGAGTCTGTCCAAACTGGGAGGAATAGTATGAACAAGCTGGCAAAACATAGGGACTGATAGAGGCAATACCTTGTTGCAGCCATTTGGGTAGGCACCAGCTCTGAGAAGGACTGAAGCCGTGGTCAAGTCGTTGTTATAACAAGCCTTTATAAGTGCCGAGTCCTCATACTGTAGTAATAAACAAAGCACTGAAGTGAAAACCCTCGACGAACTGCGCTTGCGCGATACGGCTAATTGATGGGTTGGGCCATAGTATGCATTTACTCGTGGTCTTAGTAGTAGTAGTTCGCGTAGAGTCTGACACAGGCTAGCTACGGTAGTAGAAAGCATGCGGGAGTCGATACACGTTAACACCACTAATGGGATGTGCAGTATACGTACGTACTTTGGTAATGTTCTCTAATTTTGCTCCATGCTCCAGTAACTTCTCCACAACTTTGACATGTCCTTTGTAAGATGCCAAAATCAGCGAACTCCACCCATCCTAGCACATAGAAAAGTAATGGAACTTGTGAATAAACGAGAAGCTTTTTTAACCATTCTTCACATAGAATTGTATTCACAGCCACCCAACTACAAGGTAATCAGTGAAAGAAATGTGTTCATTACCTCATCCTGCAGATCTACTGTGGCTCCATGTTGTATTAACTTGTCCACCACCTCCACATGTCTATTCTGAGATGCAGCCATCAGTGAACTCCACCCATTCTGACGTGACACACAGAGTAGTAGGTAAGGAAAAAATAAACGGTTCGTAGTTTCAGTTGGTTTTCACGCCATAAGTCTGGAACGCTGTACTTTTACGAAATTCACTAAATTTTAAATCAAGCCAGCGCTAAACCTTTTGGTATCACTGTTTTGTTGTCCCGTTGCGCGTGGTGGCAGAAAACGTGGTAACAGATGAACAAACCATAGATAATGATCCTAATCGTCACCAATATAGTACATATGTAAAGCTGTGGTGAGCGGAGCTATATACCATGGGCATCTTCGGGTAAAAATAAATACACTGGCTTCTCAAGCAATGAATCCACATGTTTCTATGCTTATTTTGAAAATGATGGATACTACATGTACAAGTGGAAAAATCATTTCTTCAAAATGAAAGGGGGATATAGGGATGGTTTGAAGCACCAAAAAGGAAGAAACAAGGGGTCATCACACAGCAAAGTTGCACAAAGCTACATGACACCATCCCTATATCTTTGTTCGATATTAAACTTTGCTTATAAACAATAAAACAACGATATAGGGATGGTGTCATGTAGCTTTGTGCAACTTTGCTGTGTGATGACCCCTTGTTTCTTCCTTTTTGGTGCTTCAAGCCATCCCTATATCCCCCTTTCATTTTGAAGAAATGATTTTTCCACTTGTTTCCATTATTTTTTAACAGCTTATGACAACACTACATTTATTGCTACAGTCACTGTGATGTTCATGGGTATGTTGTAGATAGGCTACTATAGACAAATTGTAACTGTAGTAGTAGCTAATGGGGCTGCTAGTGCCTGAAGCAGGGGCTGGATACCACATTCACCTCGTCTTCAACACGGATGTAATTAGATTATTGCACATGGTTGTGGTTTCATGGGCAGGCTTTGGTAATCAGGCTACAAACCTTGGGGGCCGGTGGACTGGACGCCCCGCAAGGCTCGCGTAACACCGCGCAGACTCTGGCAAGTTGCTCTTCGTGCAAATCAACAGCAAGCTAGCCAGTTGCAAATGTGCACACTTACTTACAGAAGGTATATACTGGAGGCTGACAGTTCCTCTGCAGGTCTGCCAACTCCCCTGGTATACGCTCGCAAGCGCATGTGGTGGACAACGCCCCTGCCTTGCGCATGCGCGCGGCTCACTGATGCTGAGTTAGCAGCAAATGGCGTTGTTCAGTGTCGACCTTGGAAGAGCTCCATGATCTACCGTAGTGACTAGCGGCGAGAAAGAACCGATCGCTTGATGTCCGTGCACACCTCGGGCGAAATTGGAGACGTTCAGTGAAAAAATTAGCGCTTCAACTTGTTCCAGTAAGGAGAAAGCGGGTCTAAAGAAGAAGAAGAAGAAGAAGAAGAAGAATATGATGACACCAAAATCGTGAAATCGCGTAAGAGCGAATTCTCGCGTGGACGACTGAAGGTGGGTATGAGGTCTTGGGGGACATGTATAGGTAGATATGTGCCCGTAGACTATTGCTAGTATGTTTTGAAGGCCTAGGGAGTGATTCTCAGCGAGTTTTTAGTCGTTTTGTACGCGGATCACGTGAGATTTCACCCGCGTCATCCCTATATAGAGAGTCTACCGACTCTCTGATATGTAACAGAATGCAATCTGCTGTGTTGCTGATCGCGCACCTGACCTAGACGACAGACTTTTTCAGAGAGCTCATAGTATGAAGTATGTATGTTACCTTCACCTCATGTTGTGAGATTACGTTTTGTACACGCGTTTGCTTGCATTGCGTATGTACATATACCTCTTTTTGCAGGTCTACTGTGGCTCCATGTTGTAATAACTTGTCCACCACCTCCACATGTCCATTCCGAGATGCAGCCATCAGTGAACTCCACCCATTCTGACGTGACACACAGAGTAGTAGGTAAGGAAAAAATAAACGGTTTTGATTCAGTATCCATGATAAGCCAATCTGAATCGTAGTTTTATCATCTAGGTGGTTTTATAGAGAGTATTATACTAAAACCAGTACATACGTATTATGCCATGCTAAATCCGACGCTGAAATCGTACTTTTGCAAATTTTAAATCAAGCCAGTGTAGCGCTGAACCTTTTGGTATCGCTCTTTTGTTGTCCCGTTGCGCGTGGTGGCAGAAAACGTGGTAACAGACGGACAAATCATAGATAATGATCCTAATCGCCACCAATATAGTACATATGTAAAGCTGTGGTGAGCGGAGCTATATGCCATGGGCATTTTCAGGTAAAAAGAAAGACATTGGGCTGGCTTCTCAAGCAATGAAGCTACATGTTTCTATGCTATTTCAAAATGATGGATGCTACATGTATATGTAACTAATAAAACGGAATGCAATCTGCTGTGTTGCTGATCGTGCACCTGACCTAGACGACAGACTTTTTCAGAGAGCTCATTGTATGAAGTATGCATGTCTTTCTCTTTATATGTTATTGTCTGTGTTTTTGTATGCTTGGGTATGTTATTGTCTGTGTTTTGGGTGCTTGGGTGGGGGAGGTTCTTTCTCGATATTATACATTTAGCTAGTATGCGATAAACATGTTTTTTCATGTTCCCTTCACTTCACTGTTTGAGATTACGTTTTGCACACACGTTTGCGGTGCTTTGCATTGTGTATGTACTAAATAGTGTGTGTACCTCTTTTTGCAGGTCTACTGTGGCTCCATGTTGTAATAACTTGTCCACCACCTCCACATGTCCATTTCCAGATGCCACCATCAGTGAACTCCACCCATTCTGACATGACACACAGAGTAGTAGGTAATGAATTTGGCAAAAAACTATTTTGATTTAGTAGCCATGATAAGCTAATCTGAATAGTAGTTTTATCATCTATAGAGAGTATTATCATGCCATGCTAAGCCTGACGCTGAAATCGTCCTTTTGCATTGAGTAGACATGATTAACCTTTCTCATGTGGTCACTTAACATTTACTCAATAGTGTTTTGCAATTGATATACACCTTATGTTTAAGATCTACTGTGGCTCCATGTTGTAATAACTTGTCCACCACCTCCACATGTCCATTCAGAGATGTGTACATCAGTGAACTCCACCCATCCTGACGTGACACACAGAGAAGTAGGTAATGAATTTGGCAAAAACGGTTTTGATTCAGTATCCATGATAAGCCAATCTGAATCGTAGTTTCAGTTGGTTTTCACGCCATAAGTCTGGAACTAGGCCTTGACACATTATGCCAGCATAATTTTGGGAATAATAGGGGTAATAAGCTTATTGGAATTATGCTGGAATAATCAGCAAAAATTATAGCTCAGTGAGAATAATAGGTTAGAAATTAGCTATGTGTGCGTACGCGCATACCTGCAGTCCAGGTGGGCATTTGCTAGAACATTGCACGTGACGTGGGCATGGCTACTACTAGCAGCACGAGTGAAGCTTCAGAAACTAACGCTTTCCAACTACTTCTGCTAGTGCAGCCGTCTTCTGCAGCGGCCGAGTGAGCATTCTCTATTCTCGAAAACTCCTTCAACCATCAGCAAAGATCATCCCTCGAGGATTATATTATTTCTGTGTCACAATAATGATGTTTTCATAATAGGCTAGCTTCATGAGAATAATGGGCACTATTTGAGAGCATAAGGGAATAGAATAATTTGGGAAATTTTGAGCATAATGTGTCAAGGCCTATCTGGAACGCAGTACTTTTACGAAATTCGCCAAATCAAGCCAGTGTAGCACTGAACCTTTTGGTATCGCTCTTTTGCTGTCCCGTTGTGCGTGGTTGCAGAAAACGTGATAACAGACGGACAAACCATAGATAATGATCCTAATCGTCACCAATATAGTACATATGTAAAGCTATGGTGAGCGGAGCTATATAACATGGGCATTTTCGGGTAAAAATAAAGACATTGGGGCTGGCTTCTCAAGCAATGAAGCCACATGTTTCTATGCTATTTTGAAAATGATGGATGCTACATGTATATGTAACTGATAAGCAATCTGTTGTGTTGCTGATCGTGCACCTGACCTAGACGACAGACTTTTTCAGAGAGCTCATAGTATGAAGTACGCATGTTCCCTTCACCTCATTGTTCTAAGATTGCGTTTTGCACAGGCGTTTGCTTGCATTGCGTATGTACATATAGTGTGTGTACCTCTTTTTGTAGGTCTACTGTGGCTCCATGTTGTAATAACTTGTCCACCACCTCCGCATGTCCATTCAGAGATGCATACATCAGTGAACTCTTCCCATTCTGATGTGACAAACAGAGTATATGATTATCAAGGGTGTCAGTAGCACTCTATATAGGAATGCCCACGTGACCTGCCTATAAAACACAGGCTCACTCCACATATTTTTCCAGGTCCTCTTCTGTGTCCAAGTGTCCATAATGTGCCCTAGAATTGTTGCATGAGAAGTATCACATCCGCGATCTTACAATATGTGCCATATTCTTCTTCTTTTCATTAAACTGACCTACAACTTTCCTAATAAGGGTAGAGACCTTCAAACTCACACCAATTAGTCATGGACTACAATCTTAACTTTTACCGCAAAACAAAAGCTACCATAGCTGTAGAGGGTACACAGCTAACGAAGCCATTACTGCTACCTCCAGCTGCCAGGTGCATGTATTATGTGTTACTTAGACAGTGGGTGGGCTCGACTCCCCCACACAAGCTATAGTGAGCGTACAGCAAGTGACTGCCAGCCAAAAAAGTAGTGTTGAATTGAGTGCCATATTATTTCTGAGTCAGAGAAAGAACTCAGATTTACACTACTGTCTTACACTAATCCGACAATCAACTGGCACTCCAGCTCCCAGAGCATAATCCAATGACTTTATATCCCCATCATATGCAGCATTGAGAAGACCGATCTCCTGTGTATACATGGGCTACCAGTGATGGCACAGAGTGTATACAAATGTTTCACTTACATTTAAATGAAGAATGATAATCTCTCTCCATTCACAAGAATTTTCTAATACCCTCCTGTGCCATTGCAGTGTAATGAGAGAGAGAAATTAACCTCCAACCAATAACAGTAGTGCCAGTGAAGAGTGAGAGGATTGAGGGTGTGGCCATCATACACCAGATCACCAGTGGGGATACAGAGTAGGGAGCTGGTGAGGCTGTGTATGGTGTTGTACTGTGCTCTTGTGAGGGTAGAACCCTCCAATTGAGCAGTGACGAGGTGGCTATCTGGAGGAGGAGGAGAGGGCTGGGTACTTGACTCTCCAGAGATCATGACTTCATCTTCCTCTTGTTGGTGGGAGACTGCCTCACCCTTCAGGAGACTCTGGAACTCTGAGAATGAAGGACCTTGACTGATGTATGTATAATGTTTTAGGAACTCACTGTTACGGAGTCTCTCTGAAACATGTAACTGTCCTGCATTAGCCAAAGCCATACAGAATGTTGGGAACATCCCACAACTATATTCTTAGCCTCTCGGAGTGCATCTACTATTATATGTACTTTCTCTAGTTGACTGCTCTTTGCCCAAACTTCTTCTCCTTGTGGCTGTGTCAGCAGCCTTCGTTGTACCAGGTGTGGAACTACTTCATCTGGTGACATCTCCTCCAACAGGTAGCTGTAATTGGTATCAATAGCCTGAAGCCCTAGTCGAATCACCTTCCACTCCAACTGCATGGCTGTAAATGAGTAAAGTATAAACTCACTATACAGTACAATAGAACATACTATACCGAAAGAGGAGTCGTAGACGATGAATCCGTCAATGGTGAGAGTGGTGACGTGATGCTCCATCATGCTCTGACTGCTGGGCTTGACAGAGTTCTGGATGTAGGTCACCAGAGAACGAGGAACCCGCCATGTCACCTCCACACACCCTCGAGCCACTTTCACGAGGTTGAGGGAGAAGTCATACAAGGACAGCTCCCGGCAGACTTGAATGCGAAACTTCTCAACATCTTCCAGTGTAGCGGTTCTCCAGTCCATTTGGTGCTTGCTAACCATCGTGGTGAACCTTCCGTTGATATCTTCTGGCTCATCAGCGCAAACTTGTGAAAACACTTCGAGCCTTGTTTCTTTTCTAAAATTTCCACCTGCTTTGCATAATCTGCTATTTTTTCTTTCAGATTAGCACTTCCATAGAGATCTATGACATACTTCAACAGGGGTAGTGGAGGTAGTGATGGTGCTCCCCCAATAATATACATTACTTCATCGGTTGATTCAGCTTCTTTGATTCAGCTTTTGCTTCCCGAAGGAACCTTTTGTGCTCTTTTTTGAGATTAGCGGAAGGCAGAGGAGGGAGTAGCGTAGGTTTTTTACTGCAACACTACTGCTAAACTCTTCAGCAGCACAAACGGAGATATCGATGTATTCTTTCTGTAACTGATCGATCTTTTCTCTCGTCTCGGTGATTTCTTTATCTATTATAGTATAGTGCACCAAAAACATTATGTTATTCTTGCTATAGAACAACCAAATGCTATGTTGATGTGGGACAGAATAATGTGTGGGACAAAAGGTCTCTTTGTATACCCCAAGAGGAGGTGCAGCAGCATTACTTCTTTTGTATAGTACTAGAAGAATGTTGAACATTGTTGGTGAGCGGGAGCGACTCAACTTGGGATTTGCCCGCGATGTTCGGGCTGCATAACGTGCCGTCAGCACACAGCTTTCCTTTCGTGAAGCAGCGGATCTACTGTCGCCGTTACATGCGTACTGTATATTGCCAGAACAGTGAGCATGTAGGTGAGCAGAACGGTATACTTACCTTATGCTTTCAGCTCGTCAGTCGTGGTCCAAGGCAGCTGGCATGCAGCAGTATCTGCACGAGCAATCCTAGCTTATTTCCAAGTTGCACCTTCGAACCATGAAGATTGGGAAGAGGTACAGCCTCGGTCAGTCACCGAAGATTGCAGCGAATGTCGTCGAATGGAGGAGAGTTCAAGTAACCTGAGGCTGTTTGTACCGTGAAGATCTACCAGGGACGTCTAAGGGGAGGAGAAAAATGACCACTTGATGTCCGTGCACACCTAAGGCAAATCTGGAGATGTTTAGTAAAAACATCAGCGCTTCAACTATTTTCAGTAAGGAGATAGCGGGTTTACTAAAGAAGAAACCGGAAGATGAAGAACAATTATATACTAGAACGAATCCCACGGCCGTTGGTACCAAGATCACGTGAGATTTTGCTCGTACCATTCCTATCTACCGACGCTCTGATTAGCATGGTACCACAGCGTTCAGAAGTCATAAATGTAAACTTTTCCAGTTATCTAACCTTAATAAAAGAGAAGTAGTTTCGTGATTTAATTCGCAAGGTGATTTGGCCTGCAAGATTGGGCTGGGGGTGTTTCTCACGATCAATAAGGGGTAACTGACATCACAAGCTATCATGCCTCAGATCTCTGGGTTAAGATGCCCTCATTACACTGAAAGTTGAGCTGCAGCCCTAACTTATTGTGCATTATAGCATCATAACCCTCATGAATAAATGAGGTAGAAAAACGACTCGGATATATGATGGCATCATTGGAACCATTCATTCACATATCACTAAGTACGGTAGTACTTAGTATATAAGGATGACACAGGTTGTCCTGCATTATGTCAATACATTTGAGATTTTCATGTCTCACTTTCAGTTTCAAGCATTTGACACATGATCAGACTAACTTGTATCGTCACAAAGAGCATGTATCCAAGAAATAACTTAAATCGCATAATCGGTACTTGATTTATTCAAAAAATTCACTTTTCAATTTTCTTCTTCTTGTTGTAACCCTCGGCGCGCATGCGCAGCGAGAGTTATAGTACTTGGTTTGTCATTCCATCCGTCCGTCCGTCTGTCTGTCTGTTACCACGTTTTCTCCCGCTACGCGCAACAAGAAGCGATACCAACGGGGTCAGTGCCACACTGGCTTTATTTAGTGACTTTGATGTACCACTGCTGCGTTGCGAAGTTATGCGTGAAAGCAAGTCAAGGAGATATATATGCAATTAGCACAGGCTTACCTCGACACGTGTCCGCACAAGAAGTCACAACGCGGCATGTATCACTCCACATGCTATCTATCTACTACTGTAGCTAGCCATGCCAGACTCTCCGTGAGTAAATAAAAAGCCCAGCCCATCAATTAGTGGTACCGCGCATGCGCAGTTCGCCGAGGGTTTGCACTTTAGTGCTTTACATTGTTGTGTTGCTGTTGTTGTTCAGTTTAGACAAGCATATCTCAAAAACTGGGTAATGATAAGGGTAAGAGAATTATGCATATGAACAAACTTTGCACAGATATTGGAATCCATGACAGTTCTGAAAGAGCATTTTTATTTCTTCGAAACAATTTGTTTACCATGTAAACAACAACACTAACCCAGCAATACATGATAGAGACAATAAAGTGTGTAACTGGGTGTAAAGCTATACCCAGAGCGATACAACTTTGTAAACACGTGCAACCCAACATTAGTATCAAATTGTAAACATTACAAGTTTGTAAACAACAACAAACAACCTCAGGCAATAAAAACTTGTAAACTATTACTATTGCCTATAACTTGCTTATGGTGGGATCTCTAACAATGAAATTGGTACACTGATGTTTGACGATAAGAGTTCATCGAAACAGAAATTACAAGTTTGTAAACAACAACAAACAGCCTCAGGCAATAACAACTTGTAAACTATTATTATTGCCTACAATTTGCTTATGGTGGGACCTCTAACAATGAAAATTGGTACACTGATGTTCCATGATAAGAGTTCACCGAAACAGAAATTACAAGTTAGTAAACAACAACAAATGGCCACAGGCAATGAATACTTGTAAATGATGTTTGTGCCTATAACTTGCTTATTGTGGGTCCTCTAAGAATGAAACTTGGGACACTGATGAGAGTTCATTGAAACATGACTTACAAGTTTGTAAACAACAACAAACAGCCTAAGGCAATTTAGTGTTGTTTTTCCTTAACTTTTAACACTTATCTACTTTGGAAGTGAAGTAAAAATGTAGATGACGACTAACAGACCGAGGCAATAAATACATGTTACTTTTTATATGGACATTATGCCCCAATGTATGTGCATGACGTATAAAAGGAAAGGAGACAAGTAAATAAAACATCCTGCGAATTAAAAAAGTGTGGAATATAGGGATGCCATAAAAAGCAAGGAGACAAAACAGGAATGACCTGGGCACGTGATGCAGTAGTACAAAGGGATGATTGCTACATCTTCACACTGACATTTCTTGCTGTTGTAAATTTTACTCCACACAAGCCCTATATTGTCGCAAAGCACGAGTGATCTCTATCGTATGATGTGCAGCTATGACTCGTTTCCTATGCACGTAAGACTGGTAGCAAATGCCCTCTCTGACAGGTCCTCTGTTTTGAATCGTGAGAGTCAATGTTCGCTCAACTATTTACAATGCTGCTTTCCTTACAGAATTCGTTTGCCAGTCTTCACACTACACTATTCAAAACTCATGTCATGAGTAAGAGTGGCGACAATATAGGGCTTGTGTGGAGTAAAATTTACATGAGCAAGAAATGTCAGTTTGAAGATGTAACAGATCATCCCTGTCTTATCTCCTTGCTTTTTATGGCATCCCTATATTCCACACTTTTTTAATACGCACTTTTTTATTACGCATTTTTTATTTACTTGATAATACTATGGGGTATTAGGTAATGCCATGGGGGCAGGAGGAAGCAGCCTCCCCCCAGATATCAGCACTCCACATCATTTGACAGAAAGACATTCATAGCCTCGTGGCCCTTGTATATACCTCGATTACTGCCCTGACTCTATTAGAGAGAAAACAGTTCAGTCAGCCATAAGGCATTCTTATGAATAATTAATGATTCATCTCCTCAAATACACCACATATGGGATTTATTTTGCAAGAGAGATACTTTTCGAGCGCCAAAAGGGTCACAATAATTTTTGTCTGACCAAAATAAAATGTGAACCCATCAAGTAAACATATGGGTTAGCTATGACACACAGGGACAAGTTTGAGTTTGTGAATGAATTACGTAGTATAATGAATAGAGAGTTTGCACGCCCGACATGGCGACGATTGGCCGAACCAGAACCACGCAAGAGCATTAAGCGCAACCCCATTGCGCTCTACGTGAGGGGATTCCCCCTCCGCCCGTGTATGGCTCGTGCTATGCTCACGTACACAGGGAAACATCCAAAAACCCTATTTTTACTTCATGCGTTCACAATGTGAAGAAATGGCTACACATTATACGAACATTAGTGGGAGGCGCAATAAGAGTGCATGCCCTCCTGTGTGTGGCTTCTGTTTACTCTACTCGTAGTAACCATTGTGCTTTTCTAAGTAACTTCCTGTGTGTATTAGAGAGTCGGTACACTCTCTATATAGGGATGACACCGGTGAAATCTCACGTGATCCGCGTACAAAACAACTAAAAACTCGGTGAGAATCGTTTAGTGTGGTCGAACCACCCCGAACTCATTCGAAACTGCCCTGTAGGTATGCTTACCCCTGCATCACAGTCGTTCGAGGAGGTTTGGTGTGGTCGAACCACCCCGATCTCACTCAACACAAGAGTGCAAGGAAATGAGGGTGAAGGTTAACAAAAGCAGGTTTCTTGCATTTCACGATTTTCATGTCATCATAATTATTCTTCATCTTCTTCTTCTTGTTGTTCAAACCCGCTATCTCCTTACCAGTACCAGTTCAAGCGCTGATTTTTTCACTGAAGGTCTCCAATTTCGCGGGAGGTATGCACGGATATCAAGCGATCGTTACTTTCTTGCCGCTAGTCACTACGTTAGATCATGGAGCTCTTCCATGGTCGACACTGAAGAACGCCATTTGCTGCTAACTCAGCATCAGTGAGCCGCGCGCATGCGCCAGGCAGGGGCATTGTCCAATGCGCTTTTGAGCGTATTACCAGGCGAGTTGGCAAACCTGCAGAGGAACTCTCAGCCTCCAGTACCTGGCTAGCTTGCTGTTGGTTTGCACAAAGAGCAACTTGCCAGAGTCTGCGCGGTGTTACGCGAGCCATGTGGGGCGCTCAGTCAAATGGCCTTCATTGTTTGTCCCCCCCAGGTTGTAGCCCGATTACCAAAGCCTGCCCAAGAAACCACAACCATGTGCTCGTTGAAGACAATACACGATGTGAATGCAGTTTCTAGCCCCTACTTCAGGCACTAGCAGCCCCATTAGCTACTACTTTCAACAGTTGCAATTTCTCTATGGTAGCCTACCTAGAATATACCCATGAATATAAGCGTGACTGAAAATGCAGTGTTGTCATAACACCATCCCTATATCTTTGTTTTATTGTTTATAAGCAAAGTTTAATATCGAACAAAGATATAGGGATGGTGTCATGTAGCTTTGTGCAACTTTGCTGTGTAATGACCCCTTGTTTCGTCCATCCCTATATCTCTTTAATTTTGAAGAAATGATTTTTCCACTTGTATGAAATGATATGTAACTCTTAAAGATTGCATTGCATAACCCATTTTATGTGTTTTTAGAACTTTTTATCACAAAACATCTATGTTACCTAACCACATTCCAGGTGTAACAGGTTTGCACTTTCTCAGCAACACTATAATATGCAGCAGCTTATAAAAACTGGCTAATGATCAATAATTTGATGTTATGATAAGGAGCCCCAGTTCCAACTTGTACACACGACACTTCGAATTAATGCAAGGCTACAATTGAAACTCTGTATAATAGAGGCACAAAAACATTTTACTTTATACAATGTAGAAGCAGAATGAGAGGAAAAGTCACAAAAGCATGATAGCTAACGAGATGTCAACAAAACATTCCTCCTCTGGTCAGCCATACCCATCGAATCAACATACACACATACAGTGTGAATGTTCTATAACAGCTTCATCCCACGACACAGTCAAATGACACTGAAAACTACATCAAGCAACTGTGCTGCCAAGCAATGTAGTGAGTCTAAATCTAAGTTATTATGCACACAAATTATTATCATTATGCTGTGCGACAAACCTTGGACTCCTCCACTAATAGATGAGATATTAGCTGCCGCTGCTGCACTTCGCTCTGCTGGTTTTGTCACAACTGTGTAATGAATGAAATAACTTAATAAGTAACAACACATGAACATTACCTACTTACACATACCAATTGGTAACTTCACTGCAAGTTTGTTAGCAACACTGGGCATATTAACAGTAGGATGATTAAGAGCATCGTAGAGATCTCTCCAGGTGCATGGCTCCATCCTCTTCAACCTGGTCCTTTGATCATGAGGTTGAACTGTCATCCATACCAAACCCTGGCTCAGAATGATGCAATCAAGATCAAAGACCCCCAGTTTGAGTCGGGTCCCAAGGTTGTGCCATTTTGATCTGGCCTCCCACAGAGACTCTTGGACTTGGGCAAAGTCATCAATACCCACCTGTATAAGATAATCTCCCATACCGTAGGTACAAGCCCACACACAACAAGGGATGTAACGCGGCATACTAGCTATAATACAAGGACCAAAAACGAGCCCCGCACACTACTATTGTGTATAATTGGCAACACAAAACAACTTATAACCTGATCAGACATTTACGGTGGGTCTGGAGCCGGCAGATTATCGCCTCCTCACTTGACAAGCGGTGCTCAGCGCGGTGGATATGGTGGACGTTAAAGGGTGTGGCTTCAGCTATAGCGGAGGCTCGCCGAGTCTGTTTGCGGAAAACCGTCGAAGTTTGGATCCTGACTACAAATTGACGAGCTGTTGTATAGTGCCGTGGCTTCAACGTACCTACTTGCAAGGTGCCCACTTGGTGCTGAGCTCCCAATAGCTAATCCAACTGCTGCTTCGACTGAGCATTCAGAAGAGGTTGTGCAACCAATATTTACGGCCACTATAGGTTCTTGGAAAAGAAGTACTGCGAATCTCCCGGTTCATGCACACTTGGACCCACATTTTCACCGCCACAAGTCCAAATGACCAGGCTAATGACTCACACTGACAGACAAACCACTTGCAGTTGCTTCTCTGCGTGTCGTCTCAATAATTATGATACTACGACTCTCAGTACTTGGCTCCCGAACCGGTTGCTGCCAACCCCCACATGGTCAACTCTTCACATGCAACAACAAATGGCAGCACAAAATCACGTGCTCAGCTGATGTAACCAGACATCTGTTATGGCCTCCATCGGTGTCTACTCTGACAGTCATAATAGGCAGTGGTTTTTTTGTTGTGTATAAGACTCATTCAGTTCTACTCTGACTCACACTTAGAGGGCACATGGAGAATCTATTGCTGTGTGCAACTGCTGGGACTTAACATTAATTAGTAATGGCTAAAACACTTAATTTTAAACTCATTAACTGTATAGCTAATAGATTACACAACATCCCTAATCTAAAGAATCACGGAGTGGGGAGTAATGTCAGAAGACCAACTCAATTTCATCGAATTGGAGGAGGATCCACTAGAGTGTGCAAATGAAAAAAAGGAGGAAAGAATGAGAGTAAAGCACTGAAATAGCTTAGTGAATTTTATTATGTAGCTACCAATTTATTCGCATGACCTTGGCCACCCCCCCTCCTTGTTCACAAACTTTACTCCCCTTCTCTGTGCACACAATAACCATTGGCATAAAATATGTGCACTTGGAGAGAGAACGAGGCTAGCCTCAGTGAAAAAATACTTGACTGCGAGAACAATAATAATAGTAAAAAATTGACCTGACTGCCTTAGTGAAAAACTATCCTGTCTACGCCTGTGTAACCTTTGGTGTCCCTCCACATCAATGAGTATTGGCCACAGGCAGTGAGTACTCGCTCATGGATAATGCTGCATCTCCAGCCCTTGTATTGCGTACTTCAGCTGTTGATACGTAGGAGAATAATTATTGCATCAGAACACAGAACACCCTCATTTGACAAAGGAGTGTGTGCTAGATGTCCTCTACAGGACAAACTCCCTGGAGCCCAGCAGTAAACAGGAAAGAGTTTGCCCATAACTTGTAAGGTAACCTCCATAAGGATGACAACGAGACAGCAAATCACAACTCATACTACCGACACCAACCGACAAAAATCAGAGCTAATCTCACAGACAGCAGCTATTCAGAATCATGAAGCAGCCAATGTTCTTGGATGAAACAAAGGTCAAGAGAATCAATGTAACGTTGAAGAGTTAATTTACCATTGCTCCAACCCCTACAGTTAAAGCTACATACAACATCTAAGTGACATTATCATGGATATCCTCACTACCCTGAATAATAGTCGTGGAAGAAGAGGAGGATAAGGAAGCAATAGAGACACACGAAGGAGAGACGGAGCGGGACTTAGCATGGGGTGAAGCAGAACGATACGACCGGGAACGTGAAGAGTCCTGCAGAGATGACTGATAACCAGAGATGTTTCCAGTGTTTCCAGTGTTAAGCAGAGAAGCAGCCTGAGTTGGAAGGGCAACAATAGACCCAGTCAGCAACCGATCGGCTGCGTTAGCAAGGGCATAAGACAATGTAGGTTTGTCAGAGGAGGATGCCAAAGGCCGTTGGCGTAATATGTGATCAGGGGCAACATCCTCTCGAAGAAACAGGCGCTTGATATGAAAACCCCTCAGCTTTTTCTTACGTAAAACAATCAGCTTACGGTCCAAGGCAGTACACAGCTTGATCAAAAGTGGACGGGGTGGGGAAGAGGAGGACTGTGACTTCCAACCGAGGCGAAACATATCCTTTTATGAAGTTGCTTCCCTGAGAGCAACTCAAACATTTCATCAACAATTGTTTGGCATCAACAATGGAGCCTTCATCAGGCAGACCAAACAAAATAACATTTAGCTCGCGACCGTCAGACAAAGAAGATCGAGGTGTGGTGTTTTTCTGTACTGAAACTGGAGAAGGTGAGGCAACCTGAGTATAGGTGGTGCTGAAGAAGCTGCTGTTGCAAAACTCCATTGCACAGACGGAAAAGAACTGGTATCCAGGAAGGAAGAAAGCAAACGCTCGACGACATTTGCCTGTGTACTCAAAGACTGTGAATTACGATTAACTTGCTCAGCAATTGGATCTAGCGAGAGAGGAGGTATATAAGCGCAGGAGGATTGAAGCTTCACAACAGATAGGAGGGACCTTATTTGCAGAATCTCAAGCATCAAAGTACTTTAGTGTATCATCCAAGTTAGCTGCCAGCTGGCTTCTTTTATATATCCGAATCACGACGAACATGAAATGTCAGCCCATGTGTTTAAAGATTGCCTCTACAAAATTCCCACAGGTGTAATTTACAAAACCTCAACTTCTTTGGGAGAGAAGTCCTCTTTTAACAAGCATTTTCAGGGATTTAACATCACCCTTAGAACGAAAGGCTTTGATGAAAGAAAGAACAGTATCAACTAAGAGTGGAGCACTTGAGTTATAGCTCTTACCAGGAAGCGGAGATAAAATAGACCCTGCCATAGTCATTGAATCTTGGGGTAGCAATTCATACATATACATTCTAACAAGGGTTTTACAGACGATTGGGTACCTAGGCAACAATAATATCAGTATAATACATAATAGCTAACTAATAGCTAAAATTCTAGTCTGTTCAGAACAACACACATTCATGTCCCTAAAATAGTGTTAATTATTTTTCACTTCGGTCTCAATTTTTTTCTTTTCTTCTTGCGAAGCAGATTCTTTTGCGGCAATGGCTTTTTCCTCAGCAGCTATTTCCTTGAGAAACTTGGTAGCTAGGTTACGAACATTGCTCCTAGCTTGAGCTAGTGTTGGATTCTCAGTGAGATAGCCATAGAGATCCTTCTGCGTCTCCTTGATTTTCTGCATATAGATCCCGCAAACGTCATCTAGGGCAACCCACTCAGCGTAGTAACCGATCGCCTCTTCTTGAAATGTGGGATCTTCCCAAAATGCCAGCCGGTCTTTCTTCTCCATCGTCATTGCGGTTTCAACCCACTCCGTCATCCTCTCTTGAGCCAACCGTTCGCAGTGCACTTGCACCTGTTTCCAGAACAGGGCTGCCTTCATCATCGTTGCAGAAAGCTTTTGTAAACCTCCAATGGCGCTGTGAAGGGCGTCTATAGCAACATCGGCTAGTTCGCTGTCGTCTTTACACTGTTCGAGTTTCTTCGCAAACTCGGCGATATCTTTCAGTGCGTTACTACGCGCTTGTCTCTTCTTGCTCATTTCTTCAAGATGTCGTAACTTTTCTTCACGTGCCTCCTGAGCCCGCCTTACGTCTCCTTCAGTGTCAAAAACGTTGCCACCGGTAATGGGCGATAAAAAGGCATTGGCAACCCTCTTTAAAACGTTTTGACTGCTCGCCTCGTAAGACGTTTGCTTCGTTTCAGCTGCTTGATATTTTTCTTCGTATAATTCGAAGTCTTGTTCGGCCGTTTTTTTATCTTCCACCGCCTTGGCTTTGTCAACTTGCAGCTTCGCCGACTCTTCCGCTTTTTGTTTTTTCCTATCTTCTTCCGATCCTTTGGTCTCCATCGTTGAGCTAAGAGCCTTTTCGACTCGTTTCGATTGTTCATCGAATTCTTTGTGGAGCTCATCGGCAGCAGAAGACATCTCCTTCGCCACTTGCGTAACGGCTTTGAGGGTTACCAGAGCCATTTTCTCAAAGCCACTAAGAAGAAACCCGTACGTACTTTTGAGACGACCGAGAACGCTTTCGGAGGCCCCCTTGAAGCTCGCCACTGTCACGGCGGACTTATCGCAGAGCTTAGTCACATCGACACCAATTTGTCGTATTTCGATCTGTAGCTTGGTGTAGCCTGCAACTCCATTGTATGCGATTCGGACGCAATTCCCCACTCGACCCAAGTCGGAAACCAATGCAGGAAGATCGACTGATCCAAGAATCATGTCCTTTTTCTTCAGGACAAGTGCGGTGCCGCTAGATGGTATCTCTTTGATCGAGAAGCGCTCGTCCCCGATCTTTACAAGTTGACCGGACATGGCTGTTGCGCATTCAAAATGCAGAAGATTTGATTGTTCTTCAATAGCCCCGAAGACGGTCAGAAAGTGAAAAAAACTGCGAAGCACCTTCCGCTTAAATACCCTGCTGCCGAAGTCCTCCCGGTCAGCGGTGCGCGCGCGGTCGCGGCTTGTTGCGGGGTGGCGTTTATAAAATCCGGCATTCGTTCCGACGTGCAGCTATTCTCCCGGAACAATTGCTGAGAGATCGTCCTCCCAAGTTCTTTGCAATGGCTGTCTACATGCCCACTGCAGGATTCGATCTCATTTCACGAGCAACTGCGTGCGTGAAAAGCGATCCCCAAACAGCACAGCATCATTTGGATGAGATCAGGAAAGGTGTACCTATACTGCTCGAGAAACTAAACCAGCAAGAACAACAACTCGAAGACGAAAGAGACGAGATCGAAAGAGAGCAAGCGTCTCTAATGCGACAGATTGGCAACAAGGAGAGGGAAATGAATAAACTCAGGTCAGACATAAAGGCAATTGAAACTAACAAGGCCCGGTACGAAGCAGCAGTCGATGATGCCGGACGCGATCTTAGAAGTGCACAAAGCAAGAAAAGAAAAGCAGAAAGTGATAAATCGGCCGCTACTGCAGGAGCTGTGGGTGGAGCTGTTCTGGGAGTATTGTTTCCTCTGAGTTTACTAGTGACAGTTCCTACAGTAGTTAATGCCATCAAGGAAGCGGATAGAGAAATCAGTCGTGCTAATGATAGGATATCAGATGCCAGGAGTGACATCCGGAGAGAAAATCAGCGAATTTCGGAAGCTAATCAAGAGATTTACGAAATTGAAGAAGAGATTTCAACAATGTCTGATAGGAGAGATGATCTTCATGATGAAGTAGGGAAAAAGAGGAAAACGATTGTCTTCCTTCAAAAAGCAGTAACCTTCTTTGGCAAACTGCAAGTTGCGGTCAAAATTGGTGGGAGTGAAACACAAATGCTCTACGAGATAGTTGACATAGCTAACAAAGAAGAGCAATATGAGATAATGGGGAGTGATGGTTATATAACTGTTGTCAACTCATTTGGTGCTGCATGGAAGAAGATTGAAGAGCAAGTTCTGAAAGGTAAAAAAGCTGGCTTCATGAGCATATCATATAGGGGTAGGGCCTACCTTCAGAACTAGAACACCACTGTTAGTTCTCTGCTGAACCTAGCTAGTGACATTATTGCTGTGGATGCTATCTATAAACTCAAAGCAAGTAACAAATAATTGCGACCGAACCATCTGAATGCGGGTGTTGTGCCCCTTTGAGAGAGTGGTTCATTATGTAATTCTCGTATACAGTCATGCACCATGTACTAGCCTATTGCTATTTGTGTATGATTCATCGAAATAAAAAAATAAAAAAATAAAAAAAACTGTGTGTTATAAGTACGTGATGCACGCATGAATACGAGCGTGCATGGGTTACATTAAGTCTGTCCGTCCCTCTGCTAACACGTTTTCTGCCACCACGCGCAACGAAGGTTCAGCGCTACACTGGCTTGATTTGGCTAATAAAGTACTGCGTTAGAGAGTTATGGCGTGAAAACCAAGTGAAAAAGCCAGTAGCTATGCAAATCAATACGTGCTTACTTCGACCAGATCCTCTTGCTATGCGCCAGGCACCAGAAGTTGTAACGGAGGGCGAGTATCGACTCTCACATGCTATCTATCCAGGAGTGTAGCTGTATAGATCTCTCCGTGAGCTGACAAGAGACGTGTCTGCGTGTACCCCTATTTCGCGAGTGGTGCGGGCAGGGTCAATTGTCTTCCTACACAGCTACGTAGATATATACCGGGCCACGCAGCCCAGCGAGTGGGTTGTAAGCGATTTTGAACGCAAGTATGTGTTCGCGTTCATCCGGCCAAAATAATTATAGCTATTAGTCCGGCCAAATCGAACGGACGTGTCTGTGTTCGCAACAGGAAGTCAATGGCCATTATTTGTAGGTATATAGAAGGACAAAGGCTAAGAAGAGAGGAATTGCGTCATTGAGCGAGTGTTCTGCTGATGCGGGATAGTGTGTTAGACAGATAAAAATGCAGCTTTCAAAATAAGAAAGTGGATCCATGGCATTTTTGGTGAGCAGAAGCGAGGCTAACTGCATCTGCAACATAATTATTAAATTACACATTACCCTATGCTGATTGACGTTCTCCCTCCTCCTATCCAACTCTCTCTCTATTATTATGTAACCAAGGCGCATCTACTATACACTACAATCAACCCCTCCCTCATTTCTAAGTATTACACCCTTTACTAGTTTAACAAACATCACGTTAGTCTTCAGCCTCAACTAACTGCAGTACTCATGCACCACATCAACCACAGACCATTAACCACTGCACATCCGAAAAGAATGCATATGTCGTTTTCCCCTAGGCCTCCCCCCATGCAAAAGTTCAATCATCTACTGAATATAACGCACTCCTTGCTAACTCTGAAGTCTGCCTTGCCTTCACGCAAATATTGACTCTGTAATCCAGATGCTGCACCAATGTATTGTTAGCATATCGGTCAGAGTGCACGTAGATTGTCAGACCTAACTACCTTGGAGAGTGGGTTGATGTGTAGAGAGGGTAGCAGGCCACAGGTGACTACATTGGCCGGGGCTGGTGTTGTTGGGTGCTCCTCTGGGACATGTATTGGGGGATATGAGGCTCGATACATTGCAAGGTCGCAGAGTTAAGGCTCAGATTTTAGGTGGTCGTATAGAAGTTGTTGCTTTGTCTGAGGATAGGTATCCAGAGAACTCCGTTTAGCCAGTAATGCAGGGACAAGTAACGCAGGGTCCAGATGTTAAAGTTCAGATCAGGAACTCATGGGTTGAGCAAGAAGTTGGGTTGACACAGAGAAGGAGGAGGGAAGGAAGGACTGTCTATTGTGTGATGGTGGATGCGAGGTGTCAGACGTGTCGCGGGAGAGTCCTGCTTACAGTGACTGCAGAAGTGGCTTTCGTGGCTCAGCAGGAGCAAATTTCAGAGTGCATCTGGAGACCTGCAAAGAGTTGTAAACAGTTTGGAGTTTGGGTATGTGTGTGTGTGTGTGTGGTAAGGCAGGCACCGACTTCAATCTTCTTACTGCGTAGCCCAGCGCTCTGGCTGGTGTTCACTGGCCCTATATAGTGCTATAATGGAGATGCTGAGTACACATCCCTTATGTTGTGTTTATAGTACTATTACCAAGATAGTATATAAGAGGAAGAGAGACGGAAAGTGACAGGAAAACTGTTTCCTCACACTACCAATCTTAATTATCTGGGTACTACAAACATGAAGGAAAGTGAGGAGGAAACACGCTTTTCCTCATTCCACATTATTAATCACAATCTAATAGAAAGAGGAAAAGAGATGGAAAGCATGAGGAAACACATTTCCTCATATATACCACAAAAATTTCTTTGAATTATCTGGGTACTATAATACCTATATAGGAAAGCATTTGATAAGGTGCCTCACTACCAACTTTTGGCTAAACTGAAACAACTTCAATTACATCCAATCATCATGACATGGTTGCATAGCTACTTATACCGACGTGAACAGTTCGTATATAGTTTTTAATGGCATCTTCACATGCTTATGTTATCTCAGGCATTCCACAAGGCTCTGTTCTTGGACAACTACTCTTCTCAATATACATCTATGATATTACTCATAATATTATCCATCTGTCAGAGGTAACGAGGCTATATCTATAATATTATGCAGATGATATACACTATACGGATATTGCTACAAATTGTGACGTATTGGACTTGCAGAATGACATTGACAAGATTCAGTTGTGGTCAGTTGAGAACGCAATGAGACAAAAGTGCAAATGCATGGTAATATCTAAGAAGAGAAGAGCAAAAGAACCGTATCCAACCTTGGTGGTCAGTCACTTGAGCTGGTAAAGAGCTGTAAGTATAGCTACCTACACAAGTGATCTCAGTTCGTCTCTTTGTAGCTGTTGTTCGACTCCAATGTCCTGAATTGCTCCCACCATTCCCACGGCCCCACTTTACCTAACAGCCGCTCCCATACGCCAGAAGGTCACCCATCAAAATCCATGCACTTTTCACTTTCTTTGCCCATGCGCTAAGTGTTCCAGTACATCAATAACAACCTGTTTCTCTTCAGTTACTACATCTTAGGACACCAGTACTCCCAAACTGGTGTTCCTTTAGTACACTTCTTTATAATTACCATTCATTTCTTATTTATAGCATCCTATTTTATAGATCGCATTGTGTACTGTAAAGCTTGAAAATAAATAAATAAATAAAATAAATAAAATCACCGAAAGTACTAAGGGAAGTATTGTTGTTGTTTTTCAAAAACAGACTGGTGAACTACACAACCGCGCATGCCTAACACTGCGCCCCTCCCCCAACGCAAATCTCGGAGACTGCGAGATCAGGAGCCGGTCGCTGTCGCCGAAGTCCAACCCGGCCGGAAGAGCACAAAAGCGTGGAAATGAGTATAATTATTATACATGTCAATCCCTATATACTAAGTACTACCGTACTTAGTGATAAACGTGGAAGTGAAATGGAATGGTCGGGAGCGTCGCCACATCCCCCTCCGGGGGTTGCCCCTTTTGGGGGCTCCGCCAGCATAATAGATCCTCACTGGCAGTCGTTCCGCTACTTGAGCCTCTAGCTTCAGTCACGACTGTCATCTGTGTTTTATTTTTTATTATAATAATTATAATTATAATTTTTTTTATTACCGTCATGAACTCTTTTAAATGATCATTTGGCTTACTGTTATTGCTCATAAGCTGTAGATCCCACGCCTGCCTCATGGTTTCCGCTGTTTTTGCTACACAATTATAGATAGAAGTATTTCTGGAAAAAAAGAGCTTGTTCCCGAGCTCCGTCTAAAAGTTTTTGACCACGAACCACGTGTAGCAAAAACAGCGGAAACCATGAGGCAGGCGTGGGATCTACAGCTTATGAGCAATAACAGTAAGCCAAATGATCATTTAAAAGAGTTCATGACGGTAATAAAAAAAATATTCATCTGTGTTTTATTTTTTATTATAATAATTATTAAAAAAAAGAGCTTGTTCCCGGGAACAAGCTCTTTTTTTCCAGAAATACTTCTATCTATAATTATAATTATTATAATAAAAAATAAAACACAGATGAATATTTTTCAGGTGGACGTAGCTATAATTATTATAGCTACGTCCACCTGAAAAATATTCACGGAGCCAGACGCCTCAGAAAAAATGTTTACGCAGGTAATGCAGAGGCTGTCCATTTTTTTTTGGTCCGCTTTTCCGGTGTGATGCCTACACGTGGTTGGGAGTGTACGCCCCTTTTTCATAATCTCAGCTACCGATGCATAGTACTACTCTATTCCGGTTCTGCAGCGGCATAGAACATGGGAATAGAAAGTTATAGATGGTGAATATGTAATGACCGCGAGCTGATCTGGGCGATGCGTGCGCGCAAATAATTATTATACACGTACTATGGGATTTCCCGATTATTTGGCGAAACGACTGCGGGGTATATACAGCTAGCTACGCAGTTTTTTCCGGCTTGGCGGCTTCCTTACCAGACTACCGACCGCGTGCGCATGCTCCGGACGTTGAGGCCGGTTTGATTGCCCAAATCTCTAAGAATGACGACCGGCGGGCCACTGTTCCTGCTGGTTTGCCGTACTCGCTGCAGCTGCTGCTACGGTTGACGCTCAAGGTATGGAATAAATTATGTATATAGCATGACCATCTCGTGAACCAAATTTGACACTCTCTCCACCACAGAGTCCATCGTGGTTGGTTTCGAGCGGGCATTATACACTGTTGGTGAAGGAGAGACCGCAAGTATATGTGTTACAATCATCAGGCCTCCTAATATTGGAAGTGCTGTGGTCTATCTGCAAGTTATTGGTAACTTTATTGTTCCAAGTGGAGCAACTGAAGCAAGTAAGCTTGCTTCATTCTAATACAAATGACTCTGTGGATAATGAGACTATGCACAATTTTTGCAAACCCACTGGTAAAAAAGGCTGCACATGTGCAGAAGTAGGTATATCTTAACACTACACATCTGGTTGGAGCCATTGTCTTTCCTCTGAACAATTTCTTGGAATGGGATATAGCTATTACTGGAACAATGGGTTATACTAATAGCTGGTTTTGCTTGAACAATGACTTTCCATGGGATAATATACATACCCAGCTATCTTGTATTACTGGAACAATGGACAGAGCTATAATCCAAAGATCAGGACATTGTTCAGTACAACAATACCCAGCGGCTAAGACATTGTTTTACCAAACAATGGCTTGGTATGGGATAGAGCTAGCTATCACTGTAGTAACATTCCATAACTATGCTCATGTTACCTTCAGTGGCCTTCCAAGTGCCATAGAAAAGCTCCATCCTTCCATTTTAACCACCCTCCAGATGCAGATGATACTGACTTAATATTTGGACACTATTTGATGACTCCTGGAGCTGACTATCCTCCGCCAGTGGAAGGGCCTCTGGCCAGATAGGGGGCCGACCGCTATCCAGTCCACTAGATCGGTGTGTTATGACCAAAGAACCTACCAAGATGACGAAGAGGAATCTGACGAGTCTTTCACCCTTCAAATTATCGCCGACAGAAGATACGCTTTAGATAATCTAGTTATAGATGAAGCACGTGGCAGTACTCAAGTCAAGATTATAGATGATGATGATGGTGAGTTATGTGGTGCTCATTGGTAGGTTCACCGTACAACGGTATGTTTGAGGGTGTGAATCGAAAATGATGGGATTCAAAGACAACAACATTACAGCATTAACATAAAAAAAAAGAAAAGGACTACAAAAAGAGAAAGAGATTGAGTATTATATCTGTGCCAGTGCTTATAGGCACAGTAAGTCACAAAGGCTAGCGACACGATGCACACAGCACATGTGTTAGTGTTTGCAATGCGTATACTCACACGCACATTTCTAGTGCGCAGAGGTTTTGCACCTTTTTCATTTTACTAAAATGGGGTCAGCGATGTAGCCATCAGTTATTGAAAGGTATGTGAAGCATGACAAGTCTCTTCTTTTAGATTTGGAGAGAAATATGTATTCAAGCTCCTCGACAGAGTTCGTTATTGCCTTTGGAAGGAATAGTGGAGGTGACAATACAGTACTGAAACTGCTCATTTCATCAGTCGAGCCAGGTCCTGTCCCAGTCACAGTGGAAACTTCACGACGATTCAGTTTCACTGGTTTTGCCACAAACAATGAGACGCTGGAAGTAGTGATACCTAGCTCGTTTCAACTGCTCTCAAGTAGAGAGAGAGATAAAGGTATTCGAGTCACAGCTGCAAACCAGAGCAAAATCGTGGTCTATGGAGTCAATTATAAATATCGTACAAGTGACGGTTTTCTTGCTCTTCCTTGTCAAAGTCTGCCAATTGAATACTATGAATACTTTGGTTTATCCTATGCTGAGACTAGAGGGACATATTATAACTATTTCTTATTTGTGGCATGTGAAGACAATACAAGGGTTCTGGTTGGCTCAGACGTCATACGGCTGAACAGCATGGAAACATATTTCTGGCAGAGTCGTTCAGTTACAGGAGAAAGAGTTATTTCGAACAAACCTTTATCTGTGTTTGTGGGGAACAGATGTACTTTGATTACGTCTGCACAACACAGGCTTTGCGACCACTTCACAGAACAAGTTCCTCCAACAGTTACATGGGGAACAAAGTTCTTGAGTGCTTCACTTGCAGCAGATCATCGGTGACTCTACCGTATTCTCGCTGCACAAGCGTCCACGACAGTTACTGTCAGATGCACCACCTTTGATAGTTTTGTGACAATTTGATCCAACCAGGCTCCTGGCAAGAATTTACCACTCCTGTAATGAGCTACTGCTCAATCACGTCTGACAAACCTCTCCTTGTGATGCTGTTTGCACTTGGGTACGAATCTGATGATGTGGAACACATATTCATGATGATGATCACTCCAGTTGAGCAGTATGGCAAGAATTATGTTCTCAGTGCTCTGCAAGAATTTTCAGCGAATTTTATCACTATATACGTCACAGCAAGGGATTATCAACGCCATAAATATTTGTCGATGATGCAAACCTTGAGAACTCAACGTGGAACACTGTTTATGACTCGAATAATGAGACTTGTGGCTACATAACATACGCAACTCTTGCACCAGGAGATCACCATGTCTACCATGCAAGTAGTTCGTCACACGTCGGGGTTTCGGTGTATGGATTCACCACTGGTAACTCATACGGATACCCTGGAGGGCTGCAAATTGATACCCTTCAAAGTTTGTGAGACTAAAACACAATTTGTTGCACATCTTCACTGGTGCACTGCTTATTTATTGCTTGTATTTTTCTTTGACTTAAGTTCCAGAGGCAGACTGTAAGGAAGGAGACGTGCGTCTGATTGGTAGTGAAGTCACGACAACAGAAGGATTAGTGGAGATTTGTGTCCTTGGGACATGGGGGACTGTTTGCGACAATGGCTGGGATGATAACGATGCTAGAGTTGTCTGCCGGCAACTCGGACTTGTGGATGAATGTGAGTAGGTATTGATGAATGTGTAACACGAGGTATGTACTTCTCCTCTATTGTAGTTGCTGAAGCATTTAGTTATGCTAGGTTTGGAAGTGGACAGGGACCAATTCATTTTCATTATTTGAGTTGCACCGGAGAGGAAGAATCGCTGTTGGACTGTCGTCATCGTGGAATAGGAGTGCATAGCTGTGGACATAATGAAGATGCCAGTGTTATGTGCTACCAAGTACGTTCATACGCACTCTAACGCTGTATCTGGAGAGTTAGTGAGTGCTTGATATCGTAACAGATACTGGTTGTGAAGAAGGGGAGATCCGTCTGGCTGATGGAAATGCCACAGCAGGAAGAGTTGAGATTTGCCTCAGTGGTGTATGGGGTCGAGTGTGTGATAACTCATGGGATATTCACGATGCTAGAGTTGCCTGCAGAAAACTTGGACTACCAAGTGGATGTAAGTAGCTACCTTATAACATTAAGATGTAAAAATAACGAACGTCACACATTTATTGGCGAGCGAGCAAGAGCAGTTCAATATTTCGGCATGTTTTGCGCGTATTTAAAGTCATGTAGAACATTACAGTATGTGCGTATGGCATATGCAGTGCCCGTCACATGTATATAATAAAAAATCCCACAATGAAACGACTAGGTAGGCTCGCTCTGCTTGCAAATTGATTTTTCTCCCTTGCAATTGTAGTTCCAAAGGCTTTCACTTGCTCTGCTATTGGTTATGATGAAGGAGAAGGGCCGATAATACTGTCTAACTTACGCTGCAATGGAGATGAAGAGTCACTGAATAACTGTACCCATGATGGGCACTCTTGTTACGACAGTGAAGCTGCTGGTGTTGTGTGTTCAAACAGTAAGTAAATGACATCTAATGCACCTTGTTTTCCAGTTCTATGATTAGAATGTGGTAAGCTTGTTATCCAACTATAATTGCTGTGTCATTGTTTGGTGGCAAACTGACCTCCACAGGAAGAGAATGTGAAATTGACGGACAAGTACGTCTGGTTGGTGGACATGTTGTGACAGAAGGACGAGTGGAAGTGTGTTACAACGGCACATGGGGCCAAGTATGCGATGACTATTGGGGTAATAATGATGCTAGAGTTGTCTGTAGACAACTGGGCTACTCTGATCAAAGTGAGTATAGTGTATAGTTAGTTTATATGCAATTAATATGCCATTACAGTTTTCAGTATACCAAGATACACACCTTTTGGCGAGCTACAGCTCCAATACATCTGCACCATGTACACTGCACTGGAGATGAAGAGTCTCTCTTTCAATGTCCATATAATGGAGATGGAATTCATGACTGTGGAATCTATGATGAGGCTACAATTAAGTGTTATAATGGTAAACCAACATTGTCATTTGTTAGTTATGACTCTGATTGTTACTTCTGAACCCAGAAACTGATTGTGAAGATGGAGAAGTGCGTCTGGCCGGTGGAAATGCCACAGAAGGAAGAGTGGAAGTTTGTTTCGGTGGTATATGGGGAACCGTGTGTAATACCTACTGGGATATCCACGATGCTAAAGTTGTTTGCAGTAACCTTGGACTGCCAAGTGCATGTACGTGCATAATTAAACAATAGATGTTTGGATTCGGTTCTTCTCTGCTCTATTAGTTCCAAAGGCACTTGTCAGTGTTTCATACACATATGGCGGAGGAGAAGGGCCAATTCTTCTGTCAAATTTGCTCTGCAATGGAGATGAGGGATCACTGAGCAGTTGTGGTCACAGAGGAGTGGGGACACACAGTTGCTCCAGTAGTAATATTGTTGGCGTCGTGTGTTCAAATGGTATGCTTTCTTTGCCTCTTTTGTCCATGTGCCAAGAAAATGATGTATGATTGCTGTAAACTCCACAGTGCGTGAATGTGAAAGTGGACAAGTATGTCTGATTGGTGGAGATGCCGGGACAGAAGGACGTGTGGAAGTTTGTGTCAACGGCACATGGGGTCGAGTATGTCGTGACTCTTGGGATGATAATGATGCTAGAGTTGTCTGTAGACAACTGGGCCACTCCGATCAATGTGAGCAATGATATTTGTGTTGCAATACATGCCACTGTTTTGTGTGTACACCATGTTTATAGTTTCAAGAGCTCAGCGATATTATACGAGTTTGGGAAAAGCCTCAATTCATCTGGATAATGTACACTGTGCTGGAGATGAAGACTCACTTTTTGACTGTCGTCATAATGGAGTCGGAATTCATGACTGTGGAGGCGATGATGATGCTGGAGTTTTCTGTTATGATGGTAAAGTAGCTTTAGCACTTAACCAGCCACGGACACATAAATGTGTCCAGAGCCTCCATAAGTCATAAATCTATAAGAATTTAAATGTGGGTTATGATAAAATTCTGCTTATTTAAGAGATGGTCATGGCATCCAAATGGTTTGACACACAGTTCGATTCATGTCAACATCAACGAGGCTATAAAGCAAAGGCGAAGGAAAATAGCAATATTATAAGGCAAACCTCAACCAAAAGTGGTATATGTATAGGTTATACGATGGCGGCGCGTGGTCTACTGGTTGTACACGAGTGTGCAACCAGTAGACCACAAGCCAATGCCAGTGTTTGTATGATGACATCCGGCGGTAAAGGCTCTGACCAATGAGATTGCGCAAAAGCTTTCAAAATGCCCTATTTTTAACGCACACCCTCGAGTGTACGGAGAGAGCTAGCTAGCAATCGATCGGGAGAGAGACAGCTGCAATAAGCGCTTTAGTTTAGTCAAGCTGGGCGGTTGTGCAGAAGCCATGGTCATTTCTCGGGAGTTCAACGTTACAGGTACGTCAAAGCTAAACTTTTTCGCTGCTAGACTCCACACGAGTGTTGTAGCTGCCGCTCTGGCTCGCTTTCTCTCCCGCTATACCCAGAACTCTCGAATACAGCCTGTTGCAGTAGCAAGAAAGCCGAATACTGTTCCAGTCCACGGGAGCCTACGCGCCGGGAAGTAGTTTTCAGACCACGTATAGATACTAGAGCAGTTTCTATGAAGTGCCGTTTGTCTCAGAACTACTTTTTTTGGCAAGCCTAAACGTCACGTGAATTTACGTAAATATCGCAAGAGTTTAGCAAAACCTCGTGTGATTCTAGCACTCGTCGCACTACTTTAGGCAAACACCGCATGACTTTAGCTAAACTCAGCATGACTTTAGCTATACACCGCATAACTTTAGCTAAATTAATAGTGCATGACTTTAGCATCCATCGTTGTATTTAGCTAAAAGGCATTACTACAGCTAAAAACCCATGCATTTAGCTTTGGTCGTCGACGTTAGCTAAATATCAAAGACGAATGTTAAAGTAATGCGAACTTAGCTAATAATCGACAACGGACGCAAAATCTGCAGCGTATATATAGCCCTAAAGTCATGCGCTGATTAGCTAAAGTCGTGCGGTGTTTAGCTAAAGTCATGCGGTGTTTGCCGAAAGTCGTGCGACGATTGCTATAATCACACGAGGTTTAGCTAAACGCTCGCGATATTTACGTAAATTCACGCAACATTTAGGCTTGATCCAAAAAAAGTAGTTCTGAGACAAACGGCACTTCGTAAGTGTCTGGCCATTCTAGCCTGAAAACACTCCCTTCTGGTAAAGAAACAGCAGCACACAAAGAGTGTTAAAGCCCCCAATTGCATTCCACGCTGCCAATTTCCTACTATCGTATAACTACCATATACCACTGTGGTTTATGCAAATGAGTTGACATACAGCTAAAGTATGGGGAAATTGTATGGCGGTATAACTACTCGTAAACTCAGCAGGAAGCGCTCACTACGCGTGTACGTTGTTTGGACTAGCTGGAATTCCTTTGATCTTACTCTCAGTCATCATACAAATGCACAATAAATGCTCTATGTGGATCATGTTTCAAGTATAACACTCACTGGTTGGCAGATGCTGGATGTGAAGATGGAGATATACGTCTAGCTGACGGAAATGCAACAGCTGGAAGAGTGGAAGTTTGTTTAAATGGTGTATGGGGTGTTGTTTGTGATGACTCATGGGATATTCACGACGCTAGAGTTGCCTGCAAAAAACTTGGACTACCAAGTTCATGTAAGTAATAGAGAACAGCTGGAGATACATAGTACTCATCCTCTATGTAGATCCAAAGGCACTTCCAGGTTCTACATATTATGGAGATGGGCCAAAGTTACTTGGAAGTTTACTGTGCAACGGAGATGAGGAATCACTACTGGACTGCCCTCGTGGCAGTGCTGGAAATTACTATTGCAGCAGTTATTCTGAAATTGCCAGTATTGTCTGTTCAAATGGTGAGTAAAACTGTCCTACTTCGTGTCTCATCTTCTGTGTCTGGCCGCTGTGGAAAGCACACACCTACTGAACCAGACAGTTTACTAACTGGGGTTCAGTGTAGTAGACATGCCCCCAAACATAATTGCATAACCTAACCTCATTAACTTTAAACCCCGGATCCATTGTCACGGATTCTTAGGCAGCAAGTCCGTGAAATCTGAGCGTTAGAAACCCGAGATCCCTTGTGTTGTAGTGTTCCGAGCGCAGTGTAGAAACTACATCTACGTTAAGGGCCTGAAGGCTTCTAACGCCAAGAACCAGTGTTTACCCTCGGCGCGCGCATGCGCAGCAAGGTTACGGTATTAGTCATTCTGTGTGTGTGTGTGTGTCTGTCTGTCTGTCAGCAGCTATCTCACACTACAGGGTACGAGGCGGCCCTTGTTGGGCGACGGGTGAGCCGATCCGACGTCTTCACAACTACACGCGAGCCCGGAAAAGGTATAGGCATCTTTTCCGGAAACGACAGGAAAAAAATTATATATATCCAAAACAGTGATGGGAAGAAATCTTATTATAGGGGTCTTTACACTGTGACTTTCAGGCCTGGAGTGTGGCCAAGCAGTGCGTTCCACCCACAAGAATATTTTTACACTATACATGCACATGCACATTCTTTTCCGCCGTGCTACTATTGATTTATGGTAAGTTTTTGGCAAAATTTCGGGAGTGTCCCATAATACCTACTGCCTCATAATATAAGCGTCTACTCTAATACTATGCACAGGGGTCGTCTCGCGAGACTGGCTTTGTCTGCATGCACAAGCTCTTATACCTGGTCGGACAATCCGGATGTCAGAAGCAAGGGAAAATGGTGGCTAAAGGCATAGCAAGATGAAGCATGTCATGATCAACAGTGCACTGATTAGCTACGGAATGTCGACCTTAATTTAGCAATAGCTATATACTGTACAGCATTCCAATACATAGCTAATGCGTGTGCAGGCTGGCTCATTTGAAGTGGCAAGACACGAATTTCTCGAGCTGAGCTAGCGGAAGAAGAGCTATATACATAGGCAGAGAAAAAGTATGAAAGTGTTACCAGCCTAGCTCTGATCATGTGCAGCGGCCTGGAACTTAGTTCACTTCATACTCAAACAAAACACAGTAAACAAGTCAACTAAGCAGGTTCTCCTTTCTTTCTCTTGTACACAGAGGGCACTCCATCGTTTGGCACTGGCTGCATCTTCTCGCTCACGGTCGAGTACTTGGCAGGCTAGTCTCGGAGGTAGTAGAGTTTGGCCTGCCGCCTCCTCTGCAGCTTCAGGACCTGTATCTCCCTGATGGCCGGGGAGTAGAGCTCATACATCATCTCAACACCAACTCCACTCAGAACATTGCGGAGGATAAATGTGGAGCCCAGACTCTTGTTGCGTCGGGCAATACAGATACCGACAAACTTTGATGTGTCGGTAGGGGAGTATGGATCAGCTCGCGTCACGGCCGGGTAGCTCCCGGCCGTGAAGAAGGGAATGTCAATGCTGCGACGTCGCTTTTGAATGTCTGACTGGTTGAGAAAGTTCAGAAGGTTAGTACTTGCCTCCTTTGGTGTATGACAGACAGTATCATTGACGGTCACGTGCGTAGTGGTTGGAACTCTCTCATTGCTGGCTGTGCTTAGGGAGTCCTTTCCAGATGAAAGCCATCTTCTATACAATACACCTCCTACAACACATTACATGGTATACGTAATAGCAACATATCTCCCATCATTAACTCCACCTAGAGCTGCTCTGTGAATCAATCTCGAGTGCATGCAGCAAACTCCTGCCATCACCAGAAGAATCCTATTTGATGCGCCCCCTTGAGCGTTGTGCGCGCGGCAACGCGCGCGCCGTAGCGCGCTGCGGCGGGGCGTCATGAAAACTAGTGTGCATGCTCCATCTCGCAGGCACAGATTATTTTTGTTCTCCAACCTTTGCAACTGCGCGTAATGATGGCAGAGATTCGCTGCCTGCTTCTATTGTTTTATGTTTCAGCTGCGCTGGGAAGCCATTTTCGCGGAGCTATATTCATGGTCAGACCGAGTCCCGGCGGAGGAGATAATGAGGTACGTGTCATTATAACAGAAGCTAAGGAATTTTGCAATTGCAGTAATTTTGTCGAAATTCCAAATTTGTTTTGGGTAGCTAGAGACACAACCTGCTCCTACACCTTTCCTTTTTTGCGCTGACTTCAAAGCAGACATAGCAAAGTATTTTCTTGCTTATTTAATTTTCCTTTCCTTACAGGAACTTTAGCATTAGTCTAAACCTGACATCTATAGCCTGAGCTAACATAATGTAGCTACCATAACGTCAATATTAATTTTTATGACCCTGTAGGAAAATCCACTCACCCTGTAGCCCCTTATCCCCTAACTGCTTCATTTGCAAGTCCTGGAGAAAATGTGATTGGTTTCCCCTAACAATACAGACTCACAGACTCATATGAAGCTGCCTGAGCGTCTTTGCTTCCAAGATCTCACTAAAAGTTGCCTAACCTTCTACCAGCAAAAGAAGCCCGTGTACACAAGTTGATGATAACTATAGTAATTGCCCTTTCCTTCCTCTTGCTATTATTCATTGAATCTCCCAGCAGCAAAGTTGTCCCCAGGTGTAGCTAAGGAGAGGTTAATGTCATAATGACAGGTGGTACACAACAGTCTTATAGCTGTTGTAGAGGTACAATGCGTGTACTAAAAGCATGCATTATCATAGTTAACCTCGGTGCGCATGCGCACGAGGGTTACTGTAGTTGTCGTGTGTGTCATTCTGCAGTTAAGTGAGAACTCACTTCTCCAGTCATAGATCGCGTCCAAAACGGGTTTACATACCCAGCGGCCGACGGAGGTCAGAAAATAGGTGGGATTGTCTCTGAAACTGCTCGTTGCAGAGCTAGAGCGTTTCCTGTTCGTACGATACGCAAGGGCCGTCATTTAAAAACGCGCGCATGTGTGTATACACCTAAACGCACGCGACTGCGAACGGTGGCATGCAGGCGACCAGAGCGGCGCACTCTGATTGGGACCACGTGGCCAGCAGCCATTTTGTTTCCGTCATCTATCTCTGTGAGACTAGACTGAGAAGCGGTTGAGTTAGTAAAGTATGCCTCCAACTAGGCGTAGCTCACTAGGTTAGGCTTGGGAAAGTCTATGAACGTAAATAAAGCACCAGTAGGTAGCTACAACAATTCTACCAGACCTGGATGCCCCACCCATTATTGTTATCACTGCGCCGAGGGTTTTGGCACTTCAGTGCCTTTCATTTTACTATAATATATAGTGCACTCTAACTGTCTGTTGCACGAAACACCTGTGAGTACACAAGGACACAGAAAAGGATTCGGGTTTGCCATCAACAAGGGAAAGCTTCACCCCTAAACAGCCAAGCTCCCAAGGACATCATATCACTGAGAGATTTAATTTTAGTGATTCATTCCCCTTATGCCTTGTACCTCGACACTACGTTTTCCTCTATAAATAAGAATGAACCCATGATTCAGCCAGCTGCAAAGCTCATGTAGTGCTATCTCATAATAATTATTGAGAATCTTCTCCTTATTGTCTGGATGACACCCTTTTGGCGACAAGTGCAATCATTTCAATGACAGATTGATTAATTATGCTAACTGTAGTATATTATGTTGACCCCCTGTCTGTTGCTGAGAAGGAATACAGGGAGTGGTCTTCTTGGCTCTGGTTCCTCTGGTGCAGCAAATACCTAATACAGTCAGTGATACAGAGGCAGTCTGAGGGGAAAAGGCCCATGGGGGCGCATAATATCTACCAAGTACACACAAGAAGACGTAGCCAGCAGCGCGCATATCACAATGTGAATCGAGTCCTGTTTTGTTGTTTTGTTAATTCAGATGGAGATAAC